GAGTTATCTGACCTGTATAACTCCATACCCTACACAATCCTGTATAAGGAAGTTTTTTTAATGTTTAATGTTTAATCATGTTTTTATATATGTTGGAAGCTGCCCAGAGTGGCTGGGGCAACCCAGTAACATGTGTGGGGTATAAATAGTAAAATTATAATTCTGGAATGGGATGTCCCTATTTTCATTGCAGAAATGTTGGAGGGTATGGACTCCTTCACCATTCTGATAAGATCAACAGGAGTTCTGAATTTGGAGTTGTGACACTTTTGGTTTTGCAAAACTCCTCATTTTGTCAAGCCCAACTTCAAACTGAGCTGAGGGAAATGTGCCCATCACTGACCACCACTGATTCCAATGCTTAATGTTTAACATTAAGCACATCAGTGAGCTCCCGTTGCTCGGTCCCTGCTCCTGCCAACCTAGCAGTTCGAAAGCACGTCAAAGTGCAAGTAGATAAATAGGTACCACTCTGGCGGGAAGGTAAATGGCATTTCCGTGCGCTGCTCTGGTTCGCCAGAAGCGGCTTTGTCATGCTGGCCACATGACCCTGAAGCTGTATGCCGGCTCCTTCGGCCAATAAAGCGAGATGAGCGCCGCAACCCCAGAGTTGGTCACGACTGGACCTAATGGTCAGGGACACCTTTACCTTTACCTTTATGTTCTGGAGAAGCAGCGGCCTTGAGCCATAAATCAAAGCAGGCAGCCATTCATTTCCAAATCTAGTTTGGAATGCTTTTCACATTGAGTACAAAAGTTATTGCCTATTTCTATGTGGGAGGGAACATTTGAAAGGATCCAAAGTTTGTAGTGATTCTCTTCAAGATTTGCTATTGACTTCAATGGCCACAGAGCTAGGTCGGTTTGAAGGGATTATGGAAAGCACAACCTTTAGAACTGTTGGACTAACATATTTAATTAGAATACAAAAGAGGGAGGTAAGAGGAGGTCCGAGAAACAAGTAAATGTAAAAGAAGTGAGGAAAAGATGAAATTGTTTTTAATTGTTTTTTCCTTTTTTCCTTTGTATTTTTTCTTTTTATTGTTAATTTTTTCTTCATTAATGTGGCCTTTTTTTCTTGTGAAATTTTAATAAATATAATTTTTTTAAAAAAATGGAAAGCACAACCTTTGGCTACCTGCTGAGCCAAATGGCTCACTGTGATTCTTACAATAACCTACTGAACTTCCTTCCTACAGTGCAGGCAGGGCTTACTAGTTTTTGCCAATCCATGTAAAACTCTGTGTGTGTGTATGTGTGTGTGTGTGTGTGTGTGTGTGTGGTTGTGTGTGTGTGTGTGTTTCTTGAATTTCTAGCATCTCATCACAGAAGCTTCCCTTTCACAGACTGTACGTATTAAGTGAAGAAATGAGTGGCAAGCGGTGATTATCTTAATGAGAGCAAGCCCAAACTGAAATTGAAAAACAAACAACGAATCAGATTTTAAAGCAGATCTGAGTTGTTCTTTCAGTTTAATTAACCAATTGCCTGAATTTTAGAAGACATTAGAACCAAGACTCAGATTTTGATTCAGTACTTTCTCACCCATTATAGTGGTACCACCCATGTGTGTGTTGACCCTAATTCCTAAACTGTGGAATTTCCTTTTTACAGAGATGTCCCTGGCACTTTATCTGCATGACTTTTGTCATATGCTGAACACACTTCAATACCCTGGCCTTTGACACCCGGTGAATAATTGGACCCATCCTATTCTGATTGTGAATTATTTCAAATCATTTTAATATAAGGGGTTGTATTCAGGGGTTGTATTCTACCCAGAGTGGATTCATCGAGATTAATAGACCTGTTATTCATGTCCATAAATTTCAGTAGGTCTACTCTAAGTAATACTAACATTAGCTATAGCCTTGCATTTTTAGAATGTAAAGCCTCCTTGGCACTTTTTCAAATTCAGCTTTTTATATACCACTTAATCACCAAAGGTTCTAATCTAATCCAGTATACCTGAAGGAGCGTCTCCACCCCCATCGTTCTGCCCGGACACTGAGGTCCAGCGCCGAGGGCCTTCTGGCGGTTCCCTCATTTCGAGAAGCAAAGCTACAGGGAACCAGGCAGAGGGCCTTCTCGGTAGTGGCGCCCGCCCTGTGGAACACCCTCCCATCAGATGTCAAAGCGATAAATAACTACCTGACATTTAGAAGACATCCTAAGGCAGCCCTGTTCAGGGAAGTTTTTAATCTGTGATATTTTACTGTATTTTTGGTTTCTATGGAAGCCGCCCAGAGTGGCTGGGGAAACCCAGCCAGATGGGCAGGGTACAAATAATAAATTATTATTATTATTATTATTATTATTATTATTATTATTATTATTACTATTATTATTATTACTATTATTATTATTATTATTTACATAAAGATTATAAAACACACACACCATGCTATAGATAAAATCAATTACAGTTAATCATGAAAACAGAAAACATCCTTCAAATGCCTGAAATAGAAAGAGCTTAGTTGATTAGAGTGTGGTGCTGATAATGCCAAGGTTGCAGGATTGATCCCCATCCAGGGCAGCTGCACTGCAGGGGGTTGAACTAGATGACCCTCAGGGTCCCTTCCAACTCTACAATTCTGTGATTCTAAGTGCCTAAAATGGAGTTCACCATGGATGAGGCCTGGCTAATCCTTGCTGGCCTACAATACTGAATACAACCCATGCATCTGAGACATGGGGGGGGGGGGGGTTCACAGACAGGCTTAACACATCTGACTAGGCAGGGTTATAAGGAATGTCCTCAGTTGTTAATGACTTTGTAAATTATTGCAAGAACCTTGAATCGCACTGGTAACATGTAGCAGGCAGTACAAGCTTTCAAGGACCACATCATATGCTGGCAGTAATACGTCGCCACCAAACATCCAGGCACAACATTTTGCACCAGTTGGAGCTTCTGCTATCATGCAGAAGGGTAGCCTCACATAGAGTACATTGTAATAATCAAGTCTTGGTGTTATGGTGAAGGGTAGGTAATAAAGTAAAGTAAAATAAAATAAGATAAAATCTAAACAATAATAAATACTGGAATTGGGGCAGGACGGTGCATATTGTGATGTCACTTCATGCACATACTGTATTCAAAGCATGGTGATGTCATGTGTTTTCTTAACTAACACGCATTGACAAGAAGTACTAAATGCTCTTGTTTCTGCAATAGAATGCATTTTCAGGGGGGAAAGTGTATTTCTTTTCACACCTTACCTTAATATATGCATTTTTGTTCAAACCACATGACTGAAAAGTACATAGTAGAATTTAAAGAAGTGAATATTCATAAGATGGCTGCCTTTTGGTTTGCGGATAATTTTGGAAAGTGTGGATTAGGTAGGTTTGCCTTTAAATGGGAACTGAACTGAGCATACACCCCCCCCCCCCAGTTTTGGTAGTCCTTATTCTAATTTCCCACAATGGCATGGGGCTATGGTGTATCAGGGACACTGTGGGATGCTTAAGAGCACAAGGAATAGTTTATACTGAGAAAGACCACTGCCCTCTTCTAGCTCTGTATTGTTCATACTGACTGAAATGTTCTGTGTGCACAATTCCACCACTGCCACCCTTCCATGGGGGAGCAAGCCATTTGTTAACCCCTTCCTTGTGAACTGAAGAAATTCAGGTCAAGCAGGTTTTAGCACCTCATTGCTGTTCTTGAGAAGTCTTAGGCACTTTTTTTGTCTTTCCATGGCTATTCAACCCTTTGCTATTCAAGTATCCCCACTTGCTGGTTATTGACTTGCTGAGTGTTCTTCAGGAGCCTGAGCTGTTCATAAACAAGCTTGTGTTTGCTCATTAATTCAGTCCACAAAGCTTTCCCCTCGTCTGGGTTTCTCCTCAGGTCTGAAGGCCCTGCAGTGTAGTTCATTGTTTTGCCTGCTGCCATTCTTGTGTGATCGGCAAGATTAGCTATTTACATTTCTCCTCAAACCTTTCTAAAGCCATTTGTCTGCTTAAAATGGGACCCCATCAAGGAAGCTTAACGACGAAAGGGTTTTTAAATACCTGCTTTTAAAGCAGCCTCTCAAAGTTCTGAAAGGAAATGAGGTTTGATTGCACGTTGCCTTTTTTTGGGGGGGGGGGATCAGACTTTTTCTTTTCTTTTTTTCCCTTCAGTGTTTGCTGCTTAGAAATCTCTGCCAGTAAGGCTGGAGCCCTTCCCCCCAACATCCTTCTTTGGGTATTTATTTCACTATTTATAAGGTGTGTTACTGCAGGATGTCTGCCCACAGCTGCTGCTAAAATGTAAACAGAAAAATATGATATTATAAGAGTAAGGTAAAGGGACCCCTGACCATTAGGTCCAGTCGTGACTGACTCTGGGGTTGCGGTGCTCATCTCGCTTTATTGGCCAAGGGAGCTGGCGTACAGCTTCCGGGTCATGTGGCCAGCATGACTAAGCTGCTTCTGGTGAACCAGAGCAGCACATGGAAACGCCGTTTACCTTCCCGCCGGAGTGGTACCTATTTATCTACTTGCACTTTGACGTGCTTTCAAATTGCTAGGTTGGCAGGAGCTGGGACCGAGCAACGGGAGCTCAGCCCATCGCGGAGATTCGAACCGCTGACCTTCTGATCGGCAAGCCCTAGGCTCTGTGGTTTAGACCACAGTGCCGGAGAGCAACAAAAGGAATGGACTGGATCCTGACAATCTGCAGATGAGCGCCATATTGTAAAGCACATCCAACACAGATTTGGAATGCATGCCTTTCTCCCAAAGAATATTGAGAACTGCAATTTGTGAAGGAGACTGCTGTTTGTGAAGATAACCTCCTGCAGATATAATTTCTTCAATAGGTCCCTTCTGTATGATATAGCTGAGTCTTTAGCATGCCCGCATTTACTCTTTGTAACTCCCACCACATATCAAACAGGTACCATTCCCACTATCGTTTTGATAGAATGATAAATAGAATCATAGAGTTATAGAGTTGTAAGGGACCCTATGGATCATCTAGTCCAACTCCCTGCAATGTAGGAATATGTACCCATATGGGGATCAATCCCATGATCTTGGCATTATCAGCACCATGCTCTAACCATATGAGCTCTGTGTATACGGGATGCCCTTCCTTTCCCAGAAAGCCTTTTAAGTGAAGATCCGCCCCCCCCCCCCCCAGTTTGTATCTGGTGATAGATAGGCATCCATCTGTCTAGGGAGACAATGGAGGAGTGTGCATTTGAGGTGAGCTCAGACCGGAATGTTACAGTGCCTCTCGTGGCTGTAGACACTGATACAGGAGAGACATGTAGGACAGATGTACTGGGACAGATGTAGGTGCCCAGTTGTGTTGCTGAAGATGCACCACAGTGTTTCTTCTCTCTGTGCTCCTCCCAGCACTCATTCATCCTCTGGTTACTTCTATGGATCATAGAATCATAGAGTTGGAAGAGACCACAAGGGCCATCGAGTCCAACCCCCTGCCAAGCAGGAAACACCATCAGAGCACTCCTGACATATGGTTGTCAAGCCTCTGCTTAAAGAACTCCAAAGAAGGAGACTCCACCACACTCCTTGGCAGCAAATTCCACTGTCGAACAGCTCTTACTGTCAGGAAGTTCTTCCTAATGTTGAGGTGGAATCTTCTTTCTTGTAGTTTGGATCCATTGCTCCGTGTCCGCTTCTCTGGAGCAGCAGAAAACAACCTTTCTCTCTCCTCTATGTGACATCCTTTTATATATTTGAACATGGCTATCATATCACCCCTTAACCTCCTCTTCTCCAGGCTAAACATGCCCAGCTCCCTTAGCCGTTCCTCATAAGGCATCGTTTCCAGGCCTTTGACCATTTTGGTTGCCCTCCTCTGGACACGTTCCAGTTTGTCAGTGTCCTTCTTGAACTGTGGTGCCCAGAACTGGACACAGTACTCCAGGTGAGGTCTGACCAGAGCAGAATACAGTGGCACTATTACTTCCCTTGATCTAGATGCTATACTCCTATTGATGCAGCCCAGAATTGCATTGGCTTTTTAGCTGCCGCTGTCACACTGTTGGCTCATGCCAAGTTTGTGGTCAACCAAGACTCCTAGATCCTTTTCACATGTACTGCTCTCAAGCCAGGTGTCACCCATCTTGTATTTGTGCCTCTCATTTTTTTTGCCCAAGTGCAATACTTTACATTTCTCCCTGTTAAAATTCATCTTGTTTGTTTTGGTCCAGTTCTCTAATCTGTCAAGGTCGTTTTGAAGTGTGATCCTGTCCTCTGGGGTGTTAGCCACCCCTCCCAGTTTGGTGTCATCTGCAAATTTGATCAGGATGCCCTTGAGTCCATCATCCAAGTCGTTGATAAAGATCTTGAATAAGACCGGGCCCAAGACAGAACCCTGTGGCACCCCACTAGTCACTCTTCTCCAGGATGAAGAGGAACCATTGATGAGCAGCCTTTGGGTTCGGTCAGTCAGCCAGTTACAAATCCACTGAGTGGTAGCATAGTCAAGACCGCATTTTACCAGCTTCTTTACAAGAATATCATGGGGCACCTTGTCAAATGCCTTGCTGAAATCAAGGTAGGCTACATCCACTGCGTTCCCTTCATCTACCAGGCTTGTAATTCTGTCAAAAAGTGAGATCAGGTTAGTCTGACATGACTTATTTTTCAGAAATCCATGCTGACTATTGGTGATCACAGCATTCCTTTCTAGGTGCTCACAGACTGTTTGCTTAATGATCTGCTCCAGAATATTCCCTTGTATTGATGTCAGACTGACTGGGCGGTAATTATTTGGGTCCTCTCTTTTCCCCTTTTTGAAAATAGGGACAACATTTGCCCTCCTCCAGTCTGCCGGGACTTCACCTGTTCTCCAGGAATTCTCAAAGATGACTGCCAGTGGTTCTGAGATCACATCTGCCAGTTCTTTTAATACTCTTGGATGCAGTTCATCTGGCCCGGAGACTTGAATACATCTAAACTAGCCAAGTATTCTTGTACTATCTCCTTAGTTATTCTGGGCTGTGTTTCCTCTGCTGAATCATTTGCTCCAAATTCTTCAGGTCGGGCATTGTTTTCTTTATCGGAGAAGACTGAGGCAAAGAAGGCATTGAGGAGTTCAGCCCTTTCTGTGTCCCCTGTTTGCATTTCACCATCTTCTCCTCTGATTGACCCCACTGTTTCTTTGTTCTTCCTTATGCCATGAACATACCCATAAAAGCCTTTTTTGTTGCTTTTAACCTCTCTAGCAAGCCCGAGTTCATTCTGTGCTTTAGCTTTTCTGACTTTGTGTCTACACGTGCTGGCTATTTGTTTGAATTCCTCTTTGGTGGTTTCTCCCCTTTTCCATTTTTGTACACATCCTTTTTTGATCTTAACTCAGTTAAAAGTTCTTTAGATAGCCACCCTGGCTTCTTTAGGCACCTTCCATGTTTCTGTCTCATTGGTATTGCCTGAAGTTGTGCTTTTACTATCCCCCTCTTAACAAACTCCCAGCCATCATGAACTCCCTTTCCTTTTAGTATTACTGTCCATGGGATCTCACCCAGCACTTCCCTAAGTTTTATGAAGTCGGCTTTCTTAAAGTCAAGAAATTGAGTCCTAGTATGCTTGGCTGCTCCTTTCCTCTGTATAGTAAACTTCAGAAGAGCATGATCACTCGCGCCTAATGATCCTTCCACTTCTACCCCACTAACCAGGTCATCACCATTGGTTAGGACCAGATCTAAAATGGCTGTTCCTCTTGTTGCTTCTCCCACTTTCTGGACAATGACGTTGTCTGCAAGGCCAGTGAGGAATCTGTTTGACCTTATGCTCTTGGCTGAGTTTGACATCCAACAAATATCCGGGTAATTGAAGTCCCCCATTACTACTATCTCCCTTCCTTTGCATGCTTGGCCATCTGTTCCAGGAAGGCATCATCTATGTCCTCCGTTTGGCTTGGGGATCTCTAGTAAACTCCCACAATGAGGTCACTGTTATTCTTCTCTCCTTAATTTTGACCCAAATGCTCTCACTTTGGCTTTGAGGTTCTAAATCTTGGATCTCTTCACAGGTATACACATCCCTGACATATAACGCCACTCCTCCTCCTTTCTTGTCTGGTCTGTTTCTCTGAAATAGATTGTATCCCCCCATTATTACATTCCAATCGTGGGACTTATCCCACCAGGTTTCAGTGATGCCTATTATGTCATATTTAGTTTGCTGTACCAAGAGCTCAAGCTCACCTTGTTTATTTCCCAAGCTTTGCGCATTAGTGTACAGACAATGAAGTCCATTAATCATTCCCCCGTGTCTCTTATTTAAGGATTTTTTCCTCCCACCACTAGGTCTGCGTGCTGTTTGCTCCATTTGGACTTGGACTAGACATGGGGTACCTCAAATAGAGGGCAGCTGTCTATAAAGTAGGACACAAAGTACTCTATTTCTGTGGCATGTACTCTGTAAAACCAAGAACAGCCCTCTTTCCACTTGCAGGCACAATAAAAACTTCAGGGAAATTCTTTACAAAGATGTCTCTCATACACACTCACACACCTCCACCCCACACTTTTAGACAGCATCAGTAAAGAATAAGGCATTTTGTTTTGCATTAAGTCTTATTATTGCTACTTTTCTGCTAATCTCAAGCAATTTATTTTCTTCACAAGTAACTCTCTGGCTTTTAATAGTCTAAATCCAGCACTCGGGAAAACCAACAGTTAAGTACTGTGGCGCAGCCTGTGAAATTCAGCAATATATTCAGCATGAAGACTCTTCCTCTACCACTTGTGCAGAGTATCAGCTTTTTAAAAATATGTTGTCATGGTGGTTGCTGAATGCAGACATGAGTGAACGAAAGGTTCTGTAGTGCTGCAGTCCTATATTCCGCTATCTGGGACCTGGAGTAAGCCCCATTCAACTCAATGGCACTTAAATATATAGAGAGCACTAATAAAATATTTAAAACTGTTTACAAAATCAATAATGGAACAGACTCCTCTCCCTCCCCCCCCAAACACCCCTACCTTAATTTTATGTGGTTTCTTTTATTTTTGCAAATTCACTGAATACATTAGGAGATGAAGAGTGGGATTGTGTTTAAATTATTAAGGGTGGTCACATTTAAAGGGTAACTGATTGATTGTGGTTTCTGTGGACTAGGAACCTACTTTATCATTTGTATTCGGTGTGCATACTCCATGTGGGACTTAATGTTCTCAGAGTGATTTAAAACAAAGGTAGGCAAACTAAGAAACATGATGCAAAAATGGAAAAGAGATGAAGAATGAAGGTGGGAACCAAGCAAAATCTAGGTACTGATGTCAATGCAGCAAAAAAATATTGGCAAAGAAATGCTTTTTGGAGTGTCTCCCAATCTACAGCAATTTTCTGCACACCCCTTCACATCAGGGAAAAGACTTGAGATAGTATTTTCAAGAGGAGGGTGTTGAGGATCACATGGCCTTTGGAGCACAGTGGGAAGGGGCATGTAGCTGACTATTTAAGCTTGTCCCACCCCTAATGCTTCCTGCCTCTCCTCTGTGGTGCCCTCCCTCCCTTGCTATACTATATGGCTTTGCTAGTTGCCTTTTGTGGGGGATGTATGGGAATTTTGGAGGAGCCCCTTCTTGACTTTTGGGCCCCATCTTTTTTGCCTACTCCACACAGTGGGTCTCCCACCTTGATATGCTTCCTATTGTGTTAATTATTTGATTTGTTTGGCATTTAGTGTAGGCAGGGAAAGGAAGTTAAAAACCTAATGGACTGGCACCCTGAGGCATGATTAGCTTAAATGCATTATTTGGTCACCCTTGACCTGATCTGATAGAGTTGCGTTTTTTTGGTGGTGCTCTTTAGGCCTGGTGTGGCACTTTGCTGAACTGCGAGGCCTGGGTCCATGTGTGAGAATCCCACCCCACATCTTTGTCTGGGAGCCCATAGAGTGCAGCTCATAACATGACCAGTGGATTGGAGGGGTTCTCCCCTCCTAGATCTTTATTCAAACACACCAGCCTGTATTTTAATAAGTTAGTTAAAGAGCTTTACAGATCTTCCATTGCTATATTCAGTAAATATAACCATTTAACCATCTTAGTGTCACAAAAGAAGTTCAGAAACAACATAACGATATGAGGTTTTGTGGGGCCCTGATCTAACTGTGGGGTATTGAGATCATACTTCAGCTGAGGATAGAGGAAAGATCCATGAATGACATCGATTCACTAATTATTCACTGCCTTCAATCCATTGCTAATTAATCAGAATAGAAAATTGAAATAGAACCATTCTTCGCAACTGGGTAGATTTTCAACGACAGGGAACTTTTAATATTGAGCACATTGCCAACATAGCAAGATGTCCTTTGTCACTTTTTAAAATGTATTAATTTTCAAGAACATATCCTTCCACCACCCACTCGATGGAACAGAAAAAAAATATGTCTGCCATTTGCACTAAAGAGGTAAATTACCAGAAAGGTGTGTTAATGCCATTCTTCCCAATGCGCTGCAGATGAGTACCTACCATTAATCTAAAAGACTTAATGTTGTTGTTGTTGTTGTTTAACTTTCTCTTCTTGGGTGGTCAAGAAAGCGGTCCTCACCAGAGTAAAACCTAAAATGCTGGCATCTGTGAATTGATTTTCTTTCATTCCCCTGCTGCAGCATAACTGTTAATGAAGTTGCTGGGTCTGTTGAGATTCTGGAGATTTATTTGTTGTACAGAACTTAATGTCAAGATGAAGTGTTATTGGTAGCTTTACTTTGATGGTTTTATTCATGGAGCAGAATCCTGGAACGCATGGCAGTGGAGCTCAACTCCATATATCACTCCTGAAACATAGTTAAGCGCCTAATTTTAACTTCACTTAAAAGGAAACAATTGCATTTAACATGCAAATATTTTGTAATAAAAATGGTTTTAAAGATAATTTACAAGACTTATTCAGCCGTATAATCGCAAAGTGAAAATTAAAGGACTGTTTTCCAAACCCAAATAATTGGATCTAGCAGAAGTTGATGCAGTGAATTAGCTTTTTGTGTTACCACTCTCTCCACAATGCGCACATAACCAGTTGTGAATACACTTGTAAATGCTGTGTTTTGATTTGAATGCCCAAATCAAATCATATGTGCGCTCTCTCTCGCTCTCTCTCTCTCTCATTCAACAGTTTTACAACAAGCAGAAATCAATAGAGAAACAATTCCCTGGTTTAGAAATGCAGTGACAGGAGAAACTTCCCTTCTTGATTTCTGCCATCCCTGTTAAAGGAACAGATCTTCCGTATACAAACGATGGCAACTTGAAATCAAATAAAACATATTTAAACTACAGTGGCACCTCGGTTTAAGAACAGCCCTGTTTACGAACTATTCAGTTTACGAACTCCGCAAAACCAGGAGTAGTGTCCTGGTATGCGAACTTTACCTCGGTCTAAGAACAGAATCTGAACGGTGGAAGGCCTCATTAGGGAAAGTGCGCCTCAGTTTAAGAATGGTTTCGGTTTAATAACAGACTTCCGTTACAGATTAAGTTCATAAACAGAGGTACCACTGTACTTCATATTCTTTCAATAGCCTAAGACTCAGCTATCCATCTGCAAATAAACCGTTTTAGATGTGTTGTAAAGTGCAATACACAAATATTACACTAGATGACGAAACTGAGCTATGCAAAATTCAATGTATTTTTCAAATCATTTTTTAAAAAAGCATTTTCACAGTGGTTTTTTATATGTGTGTAGATTCCACCCTAGTTTTTCGTGACCTCTCAATCTCTGGTCATTTTATGGAGAAAAATTAAGATATGGTTCACATGTGCATGCATTTCAACTAAAACAATGGCACAAAGAATCTAATGATGGGGTCTGAAACCAGTGGCTCTCTGAATATTGCGGGACTGCAACTCCAATCACCCATGTCCTTAGGCCATGCTGCCTCGCGCTGATACGTCAACTATTATTGGGAGTCGAATTACATCTGGAGGCTTCTTGGGTTCCTGTATTAGTTTGTAGCTTGTAGAATAGGGACATTGGAGAATTCTGATGGAAATCAGAGCAGAAATGGCCATCGTCAATTTATTCATCCCATATCCAAAATGGAAATCACTCCAATCAGTATTCACTGTTGTTGTAGTTGTTGTCATTGCTTGCAGCCAAAAAGCAATCAAAAATTGATTACTCCCCCCCCCCCAATTTGCATTGCATTTCTGTATCTTTGCATCAAAATGAATGGGGTGGGATATCATAAGAATAAGATAATTTAAATAATTTGTTATGTATTTTACATAAATTGCATAATTTTGCCGCAACAGACAGAAAGATAAAAAAGTGAAATTTGCCGTAGAACATGAACTGCAGCGGAATGGAAGCGGTGCTGCATGTGACAAATATTTAGAGGTGCTGCTCAATTCAGTATTCTCACTGGAAGCCCATTTGGCACCAGTGGCAAGGAATGTCTTTTTCCAGCTTCAGCTGGTATGCCTTCTGTGGCCATTCCTGCATTTGACTTCAGTACATTCTAAGTTTTTTTCTACCTCTCCAGACCAATATTCTGAAACGCTTTCCCTTCTCTGTTCAAATGCATGACTTTGCTACCAGGGAGAAAGAAATGAACATAAAATTGTACAGAATAAGGACATCATCTTGGCCTGACTACTTTTTTTTGTCCTCTTAAGAATAAACAAAGAAACAAAAAATATGTATTTAGAGAATGTATATGCTAATTTTCACTTGTGTGATGAATTATCTTAGCAGTGTTCCTATGAAACACAATACAACACAATATAAGCTCCAGTCATTAAAACAAAATCAAAGCAGGAATGGGGGATGGGAAGCACAGCAAAAATGGCCAAGAAAATGCTGGAACACTTCAAGATCTGATCTTACCTTTTTTTTTGTTAAGATGGCTGGGGACAGGGCTGGCACAAGATACTTTGGCATCTGAGGTGAGCTACAAAATTCTGCTCTCCCCATGAGAGAAAAGGAGCAAGTGAAGATCTACATCAGGAAAAATGGAATGAATGAAAATCTACATCAGGAATATGGTGGGGAGGGAAGAAAACCTTACCTGACTGGTAGGGAGCTTGGTTGTAGCCAGCCTCTCCAGCTGGAAAAAATACAGTGGAAAAATACAGTGTCAGCCCCCCATGAGGCAAGGTGAGGTGACCACCTTGACAGAATCTCCAGAGTCAGCAAATGGCCCCCCAAGGAATACATTGCCCACTGCTCTTGCCTTTGCTGTGGTGGCAGAAACTGCTGAGGAACAGTCCTTGGAGGCTGGTTCTGCCTCCTCCTTGGCAGCCCCCTGCCATGCTGCCTCTAGGGATGAAATGGTGGGAGCTGACCTCTGGGGTCCCCTGGGCTATGCAACCACTCAGTGTAATTCAGAGCAGCCCCAGTTTCCCCCAGTTTTAAATTCTGTATTCCATACTTTGTGCTTCAATATTTGTGCTTCAATAATCATTTTTATTGTAATTTCCCTTGGGTTCCTGTGCCTTTGTCTCCCCTCCCTTACATTTGGTCCCCCCCTCATCTGTTTTTTGTTCCTGTTTTGCTATAAGATAAGGCAAGGCATCGTATCCTTCCTTCCCTCCCACTAATCTGTTCTCCTCCATCAACATTATTGTAATAAACTTTATGAATTTTGCTTGCTTGGTAATGAAATTCTAGATGCTGCAATTGCAACCACCAAGTTCCTTCCCATTTTTAACACACTGCAGAACTATTTAGTAGCAGTCTATTCAACAATCTTCTGAGAACCCACCAATCAAAGCCAAAAGCCACTTACAATGGAAGAATGAAATGGAAACTCACCCATGCCCAGACCTTATGCTATGCTATATATATTTTTTACATTACAGAAAGAGTTAAGCCTTTAGTGGTAGGCAGACTAGAGAACTATTGACAGCTGATAGGGAAATTACTTTTGCACAAGCTCTGTAGACTTCTCACACCTATTAGGCCTTGGTGGGAAAAGGAGATAACTTTACTTAAAACTCATTCTGGGCTTTGTGCCAGAGTTTGACAGAGTTTACTGGAGAAAATGAGTCCTGGCTTTCTAGTTATTCAAATTTGGATTTGGTGTTTGACAATGTCCTGCTGTATGTGAGTGAGGGTGGAAGGCAGGAGGAGGGAACAAGAGGAATGATTGACTTTGATTACACAAATCCTCAAAGGGTGGTACCTCACCAAGAAGCAACTTAACAGGACAAAATGTGGACATTTCTGGAGACATATTTCACTGGAAAGGAGCAGTGAAGGTCAATTGGGGTTGGAATCCTACACAAAGTCATCAGAATTTACTAGGGGTCAGTTCAGGTAAACAGCCCCATGATCATTCTCATATTCTAACCCAGACTTCACCAACCTGATGGCATCCAGGTTTTCTGGACTACAACTCCCAGCCAAAGCACCTGGAGTACATGAGGTTGTCAAAGGCTGTTTTAACTCAGCCCTTCATTCTAACCCAAGAACCAGCATGGTGAAAAGGAAAAAAGAATTATCTTAATGAATAAATTAGCCTAGACTGCATGCTTAAAGGGTCTCATTTGAATACCTGCTACCTCTTTAAAACTAAGACTCTTACAAGATACAGATATGGATGGCTTGAACAAGAGCATCTTTTCTCTCTTCACCCACCTTGCATTTTTTTAAAGAAAAACAAACATATAACCTCATGAAGAGCTTTATAAAACTCAAAAGCTTGCACACTATTTTCCCACTGCAGGTTGCATCCAACTAAGTTTTACTCAGAGTAGACTCACTGAAGTCAATGGACCAAAGAGATTCATGTTCACTAGTTTCAAGGGAACTCTTAATAGGTCTTGCATTGGAAGCAACCTTTACTGTCTGACCTTATGAAGGTATTGCCCTAATGTGTTTTGGATTTTTTCTAATGGGACCAAACCATTTGCCTTCACCTTTCATATGTATTTGTTGAAATAATTGTAAGGCTCCAGCAATTGCAGGTAGAGGGAACCATGTCTATCTGTGTCTAGGGATTCTAGATTTCAGCCACTAGTAGATTTCATATCATATCATAAGTTAAAATAAAGTACCATGCTTCATATCAGCAGGGCCACCTTCTAGGAAATCAGATGTAATTTGTTTCTCTGTTGACAGAGAAAACAAAAACATATTGGGAAGCTTGTCATCAATAATGTACTGGATTCCCCTAGTGGTGCTGTTTCTTGTCCTGCCATGCAGAATGTTTACAGAGCTGTATACATGTACGGCAGCACCCGCAGTGGAAGTGGGTTGCTGTGCATTGCTTGCACGGGAGACAGATTTCCGTAGCTAGTACCTTTATATGCTATGCTTCATTATTTCATACCAGCATAGGGAGAGAGAGGGAAAAAGAATAACTCTCTTGGGAAATTACTCTCCTTCGAAACAACATAAGTAGCACTCACTGCACTGCCAACACATTTATAAGCAGACACGGCCAACTTCTTGACATGCGGGCATTCCATTCAGGTTGGCATGTGGTGATTTAAAATGGTCTCCATATTTCACCAGCCTCTAACAATGGAAGCTGAATTCACAGTGTATCCTCTGGGTCTCAAACAGGTCAGCAGAACAAGGAGGTACAGCCACATGGGTAGTAGCTTGGTCTCTTCTCATAAATCAAAGGGACTCAAGCCAGTCTGAGGCTGTTTTATTGGGACAGACAAAACACCATTGGCCTTTTGTGTCACCTGACAAGCACATGACAGTAGATGGTGGCAGTTCCTGCAACTAGAACTCCGGCCTAGTTCAGCCTTCCCTGACCTGGCAGTTTTCAGATGTTGAAAGACTACAGCTCCCATCATTCCTCACCATTGGCCTTGCTGGGTGGGGCTGTGAGCATTGCAGTCCAAAAGCATCCAGAGGGCATGAGGTTGATGGAGGATGCCCTATGTAGTGCTTCATTGTGGAACAAGAGCAGCCAAACCAGTGCTCTCAATATGTTGTTGGACTATCTTTCCCATCTGCCCCAGCCCCAGTATAATGGGAGGTATTGTCCAACAGTGCCTCGAGGGAACCATGTTAGCTACTCCTTGTATAGTGGATAGCAGGCAAGCACCTTCCTCTTCTGATGAGCTACCTCAGTACAAAGAGAGAAGGGACGGCACCAGTAAATGAGGGAGAGGAGCTCTCCATGTTACAGTGAATAATATGTATTAGCCTCATGGTGTGTGGATTTTCTTTTGTTTTGTTTTGAGAAAGTATTGAAGACTGTATGATTTATCCTTTGAGGAAGGACTGGAGCAGAGTGGTAGAGCGCTTTTCATACAGAAGGTCCCAGCATCTCCAAGCAGGAATGGCCCTTTCCTGAAACCTACAAAGCTAAACCAGTCAGAGTAGATAGTACTTAGTAAGATGGACCATTATATAGGGCAGCTTCCTATGTTCCATTAAATGGATTAAACCAGTTGTTGGAATGCATTGGGCTAATTGATTATTTACGGTGTCGCCCAAATATATCAGAGCTGCCTTACTCTGAATGAGGCCATTTGCTATCTAGTTCAATATTGCCTACTCTGACAGGCAACAACTGTCCTGGGTTTCTTTCCTCCATATTAGCTCTATATTACCATTTTATCAGTCTAAAAATGGTCTGGCACAAACAAAAAGTTACCACCTTGGAGAGAATTAAATTTCTGGCCCTGTTTTCATCGGTTACATGTTGGCAGGTGTGACAAACACAACAATGCTATCCATACATAGCTGTCAACTTTTCCCTTTTCTTGCGAGGAATCCTATTTGGAATAAGGGAATTTCCCTTTAAAAAAGGGAAACTTTGACAGCTATGTATCCATATACAAAACAAATTTAAGGAAACACACACACACACACACATACACACGGTCTGCCCCTGTGACTGTTTTCCAAAACATTGGCTTATAGAATGATATGAACTGTAAACCTGAAATCTAAAACCTGTCAGAAAGATGAGTTGTTCCCGCTGGGGAAAATGTTGCCACTAGAGATTTCATTTTAACAGGGTCCAGCACCTTGATTTGCCCTGTATCCAAACAATAAAACTGTTTGAGCAATGACTCGTCATGTCATTACCGTGGGCCTTCTGAGCCACCTGCAATACTGTCTCATAGAACTCCACATCAAGAAAGTATGCCTTATTCTTTCAAAGTTAAAAGTTAATGCCATTTGAAGCTGTTTATCTGTTTAAGCTACAGTGACATGAAACATTTTTTCAATATAAGAAGATTTAGACACCTATTTGTGACCACTGTCAAGGAAAATTCCTGCATTGTCAGTCTGAGACTACGTGAGAAAGCCAAGGCCCCAATGAGAATTTCCTGCCACTAATAAAGAAGTATATTTCCATCGATTGTCACTGTGTGTCAGCCTTTGAAATATTTCCCAGCAAACCTTTGCTATCAAGTCAACATAGCACAGGTAAGATTTGTGCCACTGTGAGCAGCCGTCTTAGAGATGGATTTTTTTTTTATTATTATTATTCTGTTCCTCTCCACCCCCAGCCCCTAAATACTGCAGCTGGCTTCTACAGAGAAAAGAAAACCCACTCTTTTCACTGCCAACAAAAGTGTCTCGGGAGATAGCTTGTATTCACCATTCCCAGGGCTTGAATCCCTTTCAAGGAGAAAGAGAGAAACTCAAAGATTTAAAATTAATTATGTAAGAGAAATTGACAGCGTTTAAAGTAGGACCAACTTGCATAATTGGGGAAGGGGGATTCATTCCGGCTAATTTACACTTCTTGAAACAATAAATGGACTGAAACCGAGTTATCCTTTGAAATTTACACTTCTCCAATTTCATAATATGGTTTTACAACAAGAACAAAAGCCATGCAAAATGTAAATATTAAAAGAAAGCGTGCACAAGAATGTTTATATCAGGACAAGGGAAGCTAATGTTGTGCCCTCCAGTTGTGTTTGGATAACCCCACTATTCTTGGCTAACATCTGGAGGGCACCAGGTTGTCTACCCTTGATAGTAGAGGAAATCATGTCTAAAAATTCATTGTGTGACCAGGCAGCGACTGGCCCAGCCCCCAGGGACCACCAGAAAGGAATAATGACTCGTGACGTGTTATGGAATTAAAATTTGGCCACAACTTTATTAAACATTCAGACGTAGGAAGACCTTGGCTTAGGCATTGGGTGTGTATCCCTCCCAGTCCCCCAGCCGGGAGAACTGGGGCTCATCGGGGTGAATGGGATATGGGGGTGCACTGAAAGATGCATGTGTATGCAGGCAGCCCACCCCATATCCCCAATGAAAACCTTTCAGTGTATGGCCAGAGACGCCCATATTATAACCACTTTAAGAGGGGACCCTGGAATCAACGCCCCGGGGGGGGGGGGTAAGTCACCACTTCACACACACACCCCATTTTACAGAAGAAAAGACTAAAGATTCCGCCCAAGGCCTTAAACTGCCAAAGTTGTGACAAATTGCTACAGGGAAGACAAAACCTGCCAATGCAGGAAAATTTCTTCCCGGCTCTTCAACAGCAACCAGTCAAAAGACCATAGCAGCGCCTGCTAAAAAACAGGAAGCAAAAGGTTAACCTGTAAACAAGAAACATTAAACAAAGGGAGGGTTGGGTGGTTGAAGCTCCTGAGCTGACTACCTGGCTGCTGCCAGCTCTTCCCCCTATTTATGGGACTGGGCCCCACCTCCCAGCAGTGTAACTTGACTACTGAGGCTGGGCGTGAGCCCCCAAAGAATAACACTGAGAGGCAGGCCACCCCACACAAACTGGTAAGATCTCTGAGGTCCGAAGCACCTCACGCAATCCCACAAAGGGCACCCACAGCATAAAGTGTGAGTGCTCAATATATCAGGGAAATTGCTTTCAAAAATGGATATATTTGGCAAAATTGTGTACAAAATTCTACCCAATCAGGGAAGAACCAGGATATTTAAACAAGCACCACCTCCATATTTCCCTCTTCTACCCTTGCCCCATAACTTTACAGTATGGGATTTGCTAGCTGCTTTCTTGTGGGGGGGCTGAGTAGGAATTGTGATTGGGAGCCCCTGACTGGCCCTTAGGACTCCCCTTATTGCCTACTTAACACGCTTGGGGTGTGAGACTGGAAAAGCATTTGTCTTCTGAATTTTGTGCAAATTGCATTTAGGCCTGGATGGTGAGGTTATATAATAAATGGTTGCTTGAACACCAGAGGCATTATTGGGTTAAGTGCAATCTTTAGTTACCCACCCCCATTGAATTTCCTCTGGGGTGGGGTCCTTGGGGTGCCCTTTATGTTGGGCATGCACACTAGGGGGGACTCTGGCCAACAAGGCCATTGTGTGCATGTTAGGTTCACATTCCCACACTTTCCAAACCTTTGCTGTGTGGCCGCAGAGTGCAGCTGTTAACATGCCAAGGAGATGAAAGGGCATTATTTCCCCACTTACTTGATAATTTATCTACCTAGATGAATTTTATTTGGTTAATTTGCTTTTTATGCAGCTCATCTAATTTTGTTACATTTTAATAAATATAACCTGTTTGCCCGTTATTGGTCTTCCTTTGGATGCAATGACAAACCAGAATTCAGAGTCTCACTTGCAAACCCATTCTATCTCATTTTCACATTAGTTAGACATATACCCAAAGAAGTGCTTTTCCCGATATCCGCTTGCCTGTGTCCTAGGATCTATGGGGGAGCAACTTCACACTCCACTGCTAAGTTTGTTGAATGTTGGTGCAGGACAGCACATTCTCTGTAGAGTGTTCTCTCTTTTATAAGCATAACAGGTACCACCATTTCTTTTTGTTTCCATGCCAACTTAAACCTTACTTGTTTTCTGGGCTTTTAAAACATTTTTTAGTGAGTGTAAAGCCTGTCCTGCTGCTTTTAGCTGCTTTCATTTTTGTTCCAGTAGTGGCACCTACCCTTTGGAATTCCTTCCTGTTAAATATTAGTCAGGCACTCTCTATAGTCTCTTTGGCAACTGTGGAAGATGTTCCTTTTCCAAAAAGCCTTTTATGTGGAGAACCTTCCCCCAATCTGCATCTACATTGGATTTGAAATTGGTTTTACATGTGGGGTTGTTTTTAATTGTATCTAATGGATCACTAAGTAGAAGTCGCCAATGGTGCATTCCAAATCAAGATCACACTAAGCATCCTACCCACAGGTTCAGAGAGGAGAAGACTTGTTCCTACAGCCAGCAAATTGGGAAGGTATAAGAACTGTAAAATATAAGCGCTATAGACTGTTGGGGTACCTAATCCCCCTTGGATAGAATCACCACATATTCTAGGCCTTGCCTTGCCTGTCAGCAACATTCTATCTCTGATGAGCTTGCAGATTCCATATTATCCATCCGGCACCTCTGATCAAGGTCATTCCCCAATAAGACCAACCCGCCCTGGCCTAATCTGGTGGCTACCCACCCTGGCACAGATCCATCCCCAAAGCAATTTGGAGACCAGGGCTAAGGCTTTGTTCTGTTTTTCTTTTTTAAAAAGCCTACCATAAATGTGTGTTTGGGATGAGACAGTGTCTCCTCCTCCCCTTTCCATCCAACTGATGAGTTCAGTCTGGTGTGGTGCTGTTTCAGGGGGCAAAAAGGGAGTCCTGGTGGGAAAGGCATTGCCCCATCCCTAACGTCTCCTGCAACAATGCATTTGTCCAGTTGCCTGTTCCTTTTCATACTGTCTCCCTCTTCCCACCCATGCCTGCCTCTCCTTCTTGTCTTCCAGCCCTAGA